AAAAAAAAAAAACACCACCTCCACCATTCCTCCACCACCACTAGTCCCAATCATCCCTGCCCCCCGCTCTCGCCCCACCCCTAGGCCTCCTATCGGCGTCGGCGTGCCCAGCTTCACCAGGTCTATCATTAGCCGACCTACCTCCTCCCTTCCCCCTTACCCCGACCCCCCCTCTTCCCTATCGAGTGACCGCCCATCCAAACCAAATCACAGTGATTAATTTTTAATTTTTTTGAAATCATAGTGATCCAAATCACAGTGGTTGAGACCATTATTACTACCATGACTTCTAAAATAAATTTATTTATACTAACTTCATTATTAAAAAAATACACACTACATGCCACATTCGTTCAATGATTAAAAACACCAATGTATAAAATGAACCAACTCCCGGAGCAAGGTTTTGGCTAGGTGGTCAAGCAGCGGGGGAAGGAGGAGGGTTGGGGTAAGGAGAGAGGAAGGGGATTGGTCAGCCGGCGTTAGAGGTTAATTGGGAGGTTGGGCGCCGGCGTGGCCGGTCACTTTCAGGGGTGGGGACGGGGAGGGTGGTTTGGCTGGTGAGAAAGGGTGGTGAGATTTTTTTAGTTAATTAATTAAATACTCTTTCAATTTTTTTAATTTTATTTTAATTTTATTTTTTTGAACCAGTCATATATTGACACGTGTCAGGTAACTTGTGATAACAAGTCAGAAGACCGGTTGAGACTATTGGAAGCAAACTCACATCAAAGTTCGGATTATTAAACAATAATCCAAAGTTGGGATTATTTTGGGCGAATGAGGCAAAGTTGGGATTATTCTTGTCAATTTTTCCGAAATTATATAGGAAAGTGAAATTTTCAACCAATAAAGTAATAAAAGTGCATAGGAAAAAGACATTTTCAATTAAAGTACATCTGCTATAGAAATTGTTAGATTCAAGAATGTAAAACATTAAATTAGTCAAAAGTTAGCACAAATTTTATACCATATGTTAGGGTAAAATAGGAACAAGACTTGGACAAAAAAAAATGAGGGTATAAAAATATTTTTATGTATGATAATAATTATGAAAATGTGACAAACATTTAGGGGCGTTCAAAAGGAAAATCTGATAAAAATAATCTCAACTTTGTCTCATTCGCCCAAAATAATCCCAACTTTGGATTATTTTTAAATAATCCGAACTTTGATATGAATTTGCTTAAATTGATCTCAACCAGTCATTTAACTTGTTATAACAAGTTAGATGGCACGTGTCAACACCTGGTTGGTGAAAAAAATAGAAATAAAAAAAATCATAAAAAGTTAATTTTTTAAAAATTATTAATTAAAAACTAAAAAAAAAAATTCTTAAAAAAAATTACCCCACCAGCCCCGACCACCCCTTATGCCGCCTACTCCGCCTAGACTCCCTGCACCCCAACTTTGGCCTTGCACAAATTACCTCCCCACGAGCCGACACCACGTCGCCCCCCTTTATCTGAACCACCAACCTTCCTCCTCCACGAAACCCTTTAAAATCCCGTCGTCCACCATTGACGCACACTCCTTCGTTTCCCTCCCACACGCCGCCCAACGTCGGCTTTGTCCATGGCATGGCAGCTTGATCCGTGCTCGGTGGGCTAATTGACCGCACCGTTGAGTTTGTTATAGTCGCCTTGTCCACGTCAATAATGTTTCTTGATTCGAGGAGATCGCTAATATTATTATGACTTGTTCTTGGGCTTTTGCGACGCACACATGTTACGTTGGTTGTGGTAGGGCCGGGGTGGATGTTGGGTTGGGGAGGTGGCTGAGGGGAGGTACGGTGGTGGAGGTGGCTGGATCGTTGGTGACGGTGAATGGTTAATTTGCTTTATTGTTAGTAAATTTTGGAATTTGATACCTTAAAAATGGGGGTCGTTGACTGTTGGTACCCATCTAAAATTTTATTTTATTTTGGTACTCATTAAAATTTCAAAATATAGGTTTTGGTACTTCCGTCCAACTTCCGTTAAATTTTCCGTTAATGGGGCCCATTATCTAATAATTAATAATTTATTTTTTTTGAAAAAACTTTTTTTTTTTTAAAAAAAAAAAATCCCAGCCACTGCCACTGCCACCCCTCCCCCCTCCCCGTTGTAGACACCCATTTGTGTCTCCCCAAAACCAAACCCAGTGATGAGTACCTTTCACGTCGAATCATAATCGAATGAAGTAAAAGTGTGGAAAGTCTAGTGTTGCGGTTAGTTTTATTTCTTTTCTTTCTCTCTATTTTTGAAAACCTATTTTATGAAAACAACCAATCAAGTTTGGTTTGGTCCATGGCAAGGGTCCAATAATGATATAGTTGGGTAGGGTTCGAAAAGAGATTTCCAACGATATATTTTAAGCCCAATTTCGATGAATAATGAGGAAGTTATGGCTAAATTACTAATCTGGGTCCGGTTTGATCTTTATATGCGGCCCAATGATCTAGAGGAGGGCCTATTATGATTTATCATTCCTAATGCAATTAGGATTGATTATAGTTTTCTAGAGTCTTCTAGAATGTTCTTTTGAATCCTAATTTAATTAGCATTGATATATTGACTTTCATTGACTTTTTAGAGTTTTAATCAGAATAAAAGAAGTGTTTTTAAGGAAAATACGATTTTGCCCTCTCGTACGACTAAATTTTATCGAAATAAGAAAACGCGTGGAAAATTATTTCCAGCGCCATACGACAGCTCTATCGCCTGGCGACAGAGTGCAGCGCCTGGCGACAGGGGCGTGTTTGGCGCTGCGGTCATGTTTTATTCTTTTTGAAACTCTGATTCATTTTTTTATCATATCAGGCTGATTTTTATTATAAATAGCGTCGTTAGACCTCCGTTTTTAATCACGAACAAATATCAATTCTCATCAAGAAATTCTTGATATCTTCTCTCTCTCTTTTCTAAACTACCTTTTCTCATACAAAATTCCGCATTCACAAGATCTAGACACGCCAAATTCGAAGTTGTCTTCGCCCTAGACGTGAAAGGTTTTAATTTCTGAGGGTTGGTCCCAAATCATTTCAATTAATTAATTTAATTGTTTTGTTTTATTATTTTCCTTGAAGTTACTAACGCCTGTATTTTGTTATTAGAAAGAGGTACGAGGCATCCAAGTAAGTGCTTTAATTTATTTATTGATATTATGATTGTTGAGGGTAAAAATACCCCGTACACGTGGACCAGTCCCGTAGCGACATGTGGCCCAGTTAGTGGGCGACACGTGTCACTATGGGAAGATGCCACACGTCCAGCTTAAAAGCGCTCAAAGGGATCAGGCCAATCCTGTAGCGACACGTGGCCCAATGAGAGGGTGACACACGTCGTTACAGGAAGATGCCACGTGTTTAGGGCATACATGACCCCTCAGATCAGCCCGCAAAAGAGGCTTAATTGCATCAAGGCCCAAATCCCGAGAGATATCATTGAAGGCCGCAAAGCGGCGCCCCCAAAACGACACGTGGCGTTCTTCGATTGCGCAGCCAATCACGTTACGCAATTTTAGGGAACAAACCCTAAAAAGGACATAAGCTCCACCCCTATAAATGCCCCAATCATTTATGATGGGAGGGGTGAATTAAGACATTACAAGAAAAAGAGCATTAATAGCTCCAACTTCTCTCTACTTTCTCACTCTAGTTTCTGATCACTGACTTGATCGTCGGAGGCGAATATTCTGACAAACGGAATATTCGTTGTTTTGCATGTGTGTCCGTCTCGTTGCTAGAAGAGCGTGAGCAGTATATGAGGAAATCCAAAAAACACCCGAAACATTTGGCGTCGTCTATGGGGATACTCGTCCGTTATGGCAATAGATGATCAGACACCTAATCCAGGCGAGGACGGACATGTATAGGATATAATCCCTACAATCCGTACCAACGATCCGCTGATTGCCACATTTCAAGAAGCTGATGACCCTCCTGTTACCACAGCCTCTCTGAAGGCCGCACTCAACAAGCTACGGAAGGAGTTTGAGAGCAACGGGGCCTCTACCTCTAGGCAGCCACCGAGGAGAGAGGGGGAGAGGGCTCCGAAGAAAGCACAAAGCAAAGCGGCTAATGCAACGGACGCTGGGAACACCCCTTTTCATAGGCCGACTGGAAGGTCCCCAAGGGTACCGCGGACAAATTTCTCTGATCTGTTGGGGAAAACACAGTCGGCTGGGGGGAGGAGTAGGCAGCCTCGAAGAGAGGATCCTGAGTCGTCTAGACGATGGAAGGACGCAAGGGATTACCTTCGGCATAAGCAGCGGGAACGCGCCGCTTACTCGGACACGGCCTCAACCCCAACTATGCCGGATGATTTTTCAAATCATTCTCTCTCCGAGCATACCAACACGGCCATCTCAAGCCGAAGTCAAGTTGTCCGCACTCCAACTCCTATTTCAGTCGTCCGCACTCCAACTCCTATTCCAGTCCAATCACTTCAATATCAACCTCCCCAGGGATTCAATGGCTTGATGCAGTCGAATCCTCAAGTCTTTGGACAATATGGGCAATGCGGGCAGACGTACGGTCAGGCTCCCTACCTGGCTGGACCGTCCGTGCAGCCACAACCAATTGATTGGCAGATGCACCTGCTGACTCTGGGAGATAAGCTGCCTCCATTTTTGCAAGATATTTTAATTGCCCCTCAGCTGCCGAAGGTGAAGAGTGTACTTGTGGGAGCTTATGATGGTACGGGCAACCTAGAAGAACACATCACCTCGTACAGAAACCTGATGTACTTGCAAAGTGTAGATGATGCTACCTGGTGCAAATGCTTTCCGACCACTTTGAAAGGTGTGGCACAGGATTGGTTCAATAGCCTCGCGGCCGGATGTATCAATTGTTTTACTAATCTTAGTTTGCTATTTGTGGGAAATTTTTCATACAACATACCACCTCGAAAGACTAGCCTTAATTTGGGAACAATCGTTCAAGGGAAGAATGAGGGCCTACGGTCGTATGTCCAACGATTTAACCAAGAAAAGCCCAAATTCATAATCTGCCAGATGAAATGGCTTACTCTGAATTTCTCCGGGGATTAAGACATAATGGTTTTAAATTTGACCTGGTAAGGAAAAAGATTCGGACATACACAGGTGTTTTGCGAGAAGCCGAAGCTTATATTGAAGCGGCGGAATTTTGTTCGCTCACAAAATCAGAAGCACCGGCCAAGGGGGCTGAGAAGAAACAATCTTCTCAGCAAGACTCGGCCGGCCAAAAGAAAGAAGGAAAAAAGAGAAAAGAAGTTTGGGTGGCCGATGGCCAGCCGCAGAAGTCCAAGAAGGTCAAGACGTACGAGCCCCAGTATAAGTTTAACAAGGACTGTTATTCTATCTTGATGGAAATCAAGGATAAGTTTAAGTTCAAAAAGACACAGCCGCTGAGAGGCCCGGCTCAATACAGGAACAAGAACAAGTACTGTCATTACCACAAGGACGTGGGACATGACACAAACGATTGTATCAATTTGAAGAGACTGTTAGACAAGCTAGCCGAGAAGGGCATGCTGAACTCTTATGTGATGAAGTCCAAATTCACTTACACACGGACAAACAACACGTCCGAGAAAAGACAGAAAAATGATAAGAACAAAGACAAGGAAGATGATGGGAATATCACTGATTCAGGCTTTGTGGCCTTGATATCAGGAGGATTCGCCTCAGGCGGCCTAACTATGAAAGGGATCAAGCAGGACGCCTGGAACTTGGGAAAGGTGATGCAAGTGGGTACAGTAAAGCCCGAACCCTTTCCCGAAGTAATCATCAGTGAGGCCGACCGGGGGGAGGTCAAAGCCCTGCACAATGATCCCATGGTATTCATTATGAAGATAGCCAATTTGAAGGTCGGACGAATATTGATTGGTACGGGTAGTTCGGCTGACATCATCAGCCTGGCCGCCTTGAAGAATTTAAGCTTCCCAGAGGATGCTCTTCAGGACATCACTCACCCGTTGGTAGGATTTGGGGGGAATGTTATCCACCCGGTGGGACGGATAGACCTACCCGTCCGCTTTGGGCAGAAAGGGGAAGGAAGAGATATGGTTGTCCGCTTCCTGGTCGTAAAAGAGCTGATTGGATATAATTTCATACTCGGCCGTCCTACGCTGAATACAGCCAAAGTAGTCATTGTACCTCATCTAATGATGCTAAAGTTCGAGAGGACGGACGGAAAAATTAGGACAATCCAAGGGAGTAAGAAGATGGCTAAGGAATGTAATTAATTGGCCGTTAAGCCTACAGCACGCGGACCAAAAGCGTCCGAGCCAAAAGAAGAAGGAACCTCACTCCCAGCATACCAGGTCGACCAGAAGCGTAAGGCGGCCAAGAAAGAGCAAGCATAGAAGCTAATGACTGTCGGCCGGCCAGAAGAGTTACGGCCCCAGCCGGCCAGTAGTCACCAAGATATAGTGCTTGACCCCGATCAACCAGATCGGACGGTTAGTGTGGGCACTATAGTTTTGGGTATGCTTGGGGATGAGTTAGTTCAACTGCTGAGAGAATTCAAGGATGTATTTGCATTTGACGTTGGTGAGATGCCAGAAATAAGCCCTGACCTGGCCGTGCATAAGTTGGCTGTAAACCCAGCCGTTAAGCCTGTCCGCCAGAAGAAAAGAAATCATGGAGAAGAGAGGAATCAGGCGGCCGCAGCTGAGGTAAAAAATCTGCTGGACGCCGGTTTCATTTGGCAATGTTATTACCCAGACTGGGTAGCTAATGTAGTTCTCGTGAAGAAGCCGAATGGAACTTAGAGAATGTGTGTGGATTACACTGATCTGAACAAGGCATGCCCTAAGGATAGCTTTCCTTTGCCCAAAATCGACCGCCTGGTTGATTCAACGGTTGGACATTGCCTGATGAGTTTTATGGACGCATACTCCGGATTCCATCAAATTCCCTTATGGGAAGAAGATCAAGAAAAAACAGCGTTCGTAACGGAGCAGGGGTTGTACTGTTACAAAGTTATGTCGTTCGGTCTCAAGACTGCCCCAGCTACCTTTCAATGACTTGTTAATACAGTCTTCAGAGATTAGCTCGGCCAGAATATGGAGGCGTACATTGATGACATGATTGTCAAGTAAAAAAAGCCGGCCGACCACCTGAAGGATCTGTGAGAAACTTTTACCGAACTCAGGCGGCATAAGATGATGTTAAATCCAAAGAAATGTGTCTTTGGTGTTGAGTCCGGTAAGTTTCTCAGATTTTTTATTGATCAACGTGGAATTGAGGCCAACCCTGAAAAGATTCAAGCTGTCCTGGACATGAAGTCACTAAGGACGATTAAGGAAGTACAAAGACTGACCGGCTGTTTAGCAACACTTGGTAGATTTCTGTCAAGGTTAGGGGATAAGTGCCGTTATTTCTTTCAAACCATCAAGAAGAAAGCCATGTTTGAGTGGACAGAAGAGGCCGAGGAAGTGTTCGTATAGCTAAAGAGCCATCTTCATACATTGCCTCGGCTTGTTAGTCTACTCAAGAATGAGAAGCTATTTATCTATCTCGCCATCTCTGAACACTCTCTAAGTGTCGTCCTGCTTACTGAACGGGACGGCCACCAGATCCCAGTCTATTTTATCATCCATGTACTTCACAACGCCGAGCAGAGGTATCCCCCTATTGAAAAATTTGGCCTGGCATTGTACATGGCATCAAAAAATCTGCGGCCGTACTGCTTGGCACATTCAATGGTGGTCTACACATACCAACCTCTAAAGAAGCCATCCTCAACCTTAGAGGCAAGTGGCCGTATGCTCAAGTAGGCCTTGGAAATGAGAGGTTTTGACATTACGTTTGAGCCAAGAAAAGCAATCAAGGGACAAACCTTTGCAGATTTTTTAGCTGAGATGACTCGGCCTGATCTTCAGCCGGTCGGAGACTAGGACTGGAAAGTGTTCGTGGACGGTAGTGCAACAACTACCGGGTGTGGCGCATGTATCATATGTCAGTCTCCCGAGGGAGATAAGTTTAAGTATGCTCTGAGATTTCATTTCCAAGCCTCTAATAATGAAGCCGAGTATGAAGCTCTCTTGGCCGGCCTTAGAATGTGTAAGGTGATATGTCTATTTTATATAGTATTTTACCCCCGTCCCTTGGTCATATTTAGTAATGTTTTTGGCTCTTTAGAGCCACTTTTATTACTAATTGGTGTTTTCTAGTGTTTTCATAGATTTGGTTGACTTTTGCAGGGATTTACACTTTTGGAGTATTTTCCCGAGATATTTTGGAGCAATCACGAACATTGGAGAAGCATGATAAGATTTTATAGCCCAGGGCCGGTTAGAGCCATCGAACCGGTGATTAAGGGCTCGGTATAGGTGATACCGGGGCAGTTGGACCGAGTATTCAAGACCCGAAGAGGAAACCCAGATTGGCCCGAAGGATTGAAGCCCAATTGTAGTCCAATTAGTGGCCCAGGAGAGCCGCCCGGCCAAAGAGGCTGGCGCCCGGAGGCGCGCCCGGCCGGGCAGGAGAAGCTAAGGTCGGCGCCCGGTGACGCGCCCGGCCGGGCGCGAGAGTCTACATGAAGAGCAAAAAGGCGCGCCCGATCGGGCGATGCCTCGCCCGATCGGGCGCGTGTAATTGTTAGGAGACAATTAGCGTCGTTTTAGTTTGTTTTATGTTAGGATTTTTACGGAGTATAAATACTCCTCCGTAATACGATTTTAGGATCTCTCTCTCTCTATCTCTCTCTTTAATCTCTTAATTGTTTTCTTAGATTTTCTCTCTCTTAAACCTTTGTTATTAATCCATTCTTAATTCCAGATTCGTTTGGTCACTATTTCTCTTCTCTTAATCTTAGTTGTTTATTTTATTCCCTTAATTATGTCTTGTTTTATTGCTTTGATTTGTTTAGTTCTTATTATGTGTGAGTAGTTCTATTTCTAGGGTTTATGGGGATCCATAAATAATATGAAGGGGTAATTTATTGTTGTTAATTATCAATGCTAGATTAATTTCCTATTGATTGATTTAATGCTCTGTGACTAGATTAGGCCTGATCTTTTATGCATGAGTTTGACAATATTGATTCGAGATTCGACAGATGAGAATTGATGTTTAGGTCTTGTTTCAATAGGCAGGTTTATTTATAAATGGTTAGGTCGAGATTCGAAAGATGAGATTTAATACCGGTAAATTAATTGTGTGATTATAATACGTAGCAAAATCCCTTTATAATCTGATTAATATATGCATTGATGAATGATTATTATATTCTACCCTGGAATATTATTTATTGGTGAACCTATGCCCTAGATCCTTTTATATATTGTTTTCTCCCTATTCTTAATCTTCGTAGTTTAGTTTCACATTCAACTCATATATTGGTTACCTAATAATCTAGATTATATTAATTAATTAGGAATAGAAAGACTTGTTTCCCTGTGGATTCGACCCTACTTCCCTATCTGCATTAGTTAGAGGATTTAGGTATTACTTTTGATTTGGGGATACGACTTTACCCTGTCAAAATTTCGGCGCCGTAGCTGGGGAAACAGTCTTATTTTTATTTCTAATTATTTTTGTAGTCTAGGTTATTTTCTTTTTTTGTCTCAGAGAACGTTAGTTCTTTGAGGCAAATCTCATATTTGCTTTTAGTTTTTTTGTTTATGCCCACGTGTTCCAGATCAGGGTACATCCCATTCGATCCTGAGATCGAACGTTCCTTCCATAGGCAGAAAAATCTCTATAAGCAAATCCTAGCGGATTCTGGTGATAATAATAATAATCACCGCGATCCTCCAACTGGTTCTAGCGATTCAGAGGTATCATCAGACGCAGAATCAGAGATGGCAGTTCCAAAGAAGCTTAGTGATTACTCACAACCAAAGCTTACAGATTTTCCACATCTCACCCCCACTCCGGCTCTTGATGGGGTACAATTCGAAATTAAACCTCAATTTATAACGATGATAGAGAGGAAGCAATTTAGTGGAGCTAAGGGTGAAGACCCGAATCTTCACATTGCCGACTATTGTCAATACTGTAATACCATCAGGCAAGCCGGAGTCACTCAAGACCAAATCAGGGAGATTCTCTTTCCCTTCTCTTTAACTGGAAAAGCTAAATTGTGGTTTAATGGCTTAAATAGAACTGCGCTTGGTTTAACTGACTGGGAAACTCTTGTTTTGAATTTTTATAATAAGTATTATCCTGCAGAGAGAACAACCGTACTATAGAGTGCGATTCAGAACTTTGCCAAAGAAGCCGATGAATCCTTATATGAGGCTTGGGAGAGGTTCAAGGACTTACAAAGAGAATGCCCCCACCACAATTTAGCACAATGGCAGTTAATCCAAGCCTTTTACAATGGCATTGGAAATTCTTCTAGAATAATTTTAGATTCTGCAGCTAGTGGGAGATTTATGAATCTTAATGTTGATGATGCAGGTCAGGTTATTGAAGATATGACGATACACAATTCCCAATATGGGAATCCTAGAGGCTTTTCTAACAAGGGGAAGCATAGTGTTGACTCTGTATCATTTTTGGAAGCTCAATTGACCTCTATCTGCCAAAAATTAGATAATCTGAGCACTGCTAATGTAGCTAATGTTTCTGCAATTAATAATTCTAATGAGGCTTTCTGTGAAAATTATGGTATTATAGGTCATTGGGAACAAGATTGTAGGAGTTGCGTGGAGCAAGTTAATGCCTTTCAAGCTTATAGGCAGAATAACCCATACTCCAACACCTACAATCCTGGGTATCGGAATCATCCGTACCTTTCCTACCGGAGTACTAATGTTCAGAATCCATCACCACAAGAACCACAGGCGCCACAGCGACAACAGTAGAAATATTACCATCCCAATGCTGGCCAGAAAAACCAACCACAACAACCTTCCTCATCTTCCGACCCTTCCTTGGTGGAAATTAGAGCGATGTTGGTTAATATGAAGAAGCACATGGAGACTAGAGATGCAACAATTGATTCAATTCTAGCGCATAACAAAATTGTAGATAATCAGATTGCGCAACTCTCCGCTACTCTACAAGCCCGCCAACAGGGAGCTCTGCCAGCACAGCCGACCAGGCCTACGGATCAAGCATATGCAATTACTCTAAGGAATGGTTCAAACTATGAAAGGCCCCCTATGCCCAGAGTTGATGAACCTATTTTATTAAATAATGCTAATCTTGATTCCGTTAAACCTGACAATGTAGTTAATAGCCCTGCAGGGCTAAAGCATAGTACTAATACATCTAATTCTACATTGCAGGG